CATCTTTCGTATATGTATATATTATTTTGTAACTTAATTAAAAAAATTATTTTTATTAATTAAACGTTTGAATTTTGATCAACATTGATTTAAATACTGATTTAAAGAAGTTTATTAAGTTTATTTTATGCAGAAGTTTATAAAAGATGTTTAATTAACTACTGACAAGATTGTTTTCATTTAAATTTTAATTGTCAATAAATATTAAAAATAATAATTTTAATGTTTTATGTTTATATCCGAAGCTATCCCATGCATACATAGATGCCCTATTACATGTTCGAAGCTACCCCGCCTAAGGGGTAGATTCATACGATTTTTAAGTTTTGTAAAAATCATCTGCGTTTAACTATATATTAATTTATTATTTTTATTGCATTTTCATTTTATTGTAACTGAATATTTATACTATTTATCGATACAAATTTAAGTAGTGTAAAAGCATTTAACACAGTTCGGGAAGCAAAACTTCCAAAAGCGAAGGATCCCCATCTCTCCCTAAATTTTTAATCTTAAACTAAATTTAATATTCTTTAACACTTTTAATATAGTGTATTCTATATTTGAAGTTTCAATAATGATAACAAAAAGTTAATAATAAAAGTTATATATATTTATTTGTAAATTTATTGTGTATAAATGTATTTCTAGATAATTTACCTATCTTTATTCCAATTTCGTCCAGACATGTCTGTACTGTCGCTGCATCAGTGTCAAACCTTTTTGCTATGTCTTCTATGTCTTTATCATCTGCAATTACCTAAAATAAAATTATATTATACTTTTATAGTATGTAAAAAATCGTACCAATTTATTTTAAAAGATTTTATTTTTAAAAATGGTGATGAGAGAGAGAGAGAGAGAGAGAGAGAGAGAGAGCTACTTTCATGTAATCTTTAAACATCAATTTTTAAGAAATTTTATCCTTTCCTTAGATCATAACTTTTGTTTTAATTATTCTTGCCTGCTGGACTCAGTTTTCGATAATGTAAGTTTTAATACATTTTTATTTTTGGCATAAGTTTTTGTTGATATCAGAAAGAATATTGATAGCATAAATAATAGAATTTAACAATTATCTTATAATTAAAAAACTTTTGCTTGATATTTACGCGAATACATTGCCTACTTTCATCTGTGTAATAATTATATGTTCAATCTTTTTTTTCAAATACTTAGACATATTCTGAAATCATTTCATTGCTCAAAATGTTCAAAAAATTATATAAATCTCTTTTTTAAATAAAAAGATTTAACATTTTGATTATTTTCAAGTGCACTCTGTCACTTAAATATTAAGACGTTAATATCAGTTAATAACAGTTTTGTAATCAAATTTTAAGATAAAAAATTTTAATTAATTTAAAGAAATTTTAATTAATTGTAAGTTTATTATAGTAAGATGTTAATTAAAGATTGGTTAAAAATATATATACAACATTTAAAATTAAAAAATTGTAAATAACGACCTTCCTGCATACATTTGCTAAGAAAAATGCAATTTTCTTGTATATTGTTAACTTTGCAATAATTAATTTGAATGAAATATTTATTTAGTTTTTATTTAAACATGATAAAATTAAGAAAATTAATGTATGTATGAAAACAAAAAGCACTTACGATAGTTATGAGTGTTAAAACGAAAAACGCGACTTTTCTCATCTTTTTGCGTTTTAGTGATTGAAACGAATAGCTTGAGCAAAGTTAATCCGACAACTGGACATATCTATTTCTATGGCTCATATTTATATTGTGCGTAGTGATGTTTATGATATCTTACATCATCGACATGCAAGAGAGAGAATTTTTCATTTGTGTACACAATATATATCTGCGCGGATTTACGGAAGTATGATTGGTATAATTGGCTGCATATCAGATTTGCATAAGTTTCGATGGCATCGTAATACTACGCGACTACAATATCGTAATTGTTTTGTGTGTACACGTGTGAGTGCCAATTATGTACATGTCAGTGTGCAGAATTGGTTATACATTCAGGGAAAACCCAGCAATTGTACGCAAAGCTACTATTCAATTAAAATGCTCAACAGACAATTTATATTATATTTATTATGTAATATACATAAATGTATAAATAATACAAGTACAACAATTTTAATCAGTACATATTAATAATTATATATATGTATGTTAAAAAAAAGAGAACTTTTTTTATTCGTATTTTATCTTTAGTACATTATTATTTAACTATTATTATTTAACAATATAATTAATAGATAAATTTACGATTTAGGCTCAATAAATTAAATTAAAACAATGGAAAATCAAGGGCAAATGAGCCAAAGGCAAGTTACTTGCCTTTGGCTCATTTGCCCTTGATTGTCCATTGTTTTAATTTAATTAATATTTAATATAAAAATATACTTAAAATTGCAACTTTAATAATATTTAATATGTAAAATAATTTAAATAAAATAATACTTGTATTATTAGCAATTTGCAAAATTACATTTTATAATTTATTCAATCAGTTCATTAATCTATTTTTATATAAAGAATGCTGTTATTAAAAAATTTTTGAAATATAGAACAGTACTCCACATTCATTAATAGATAATGAAAAAGAGGAACAGAGAATTGTGATGAATAATAAGTGATAAAAATGATGACAGCAAATTACGAAGATAATAAGTGATAAAAATAATGACGGTAATTACGGTTACTGCTCAAGGTCTTCAAAATGTCATTTTGTTACAGTGTGCAATAAATGTACAAACTTCAATGCCTATTGTCGGTTATATGGTATTTAACGGCAAATGGTTTCTGAGAAAACGAATTTTTCCTAGTCTTGTGGTCAACTTCGGAATTGAATAACAAAATCTAACTAGAATTACAAATGACGCGCATATCCATAACAAATAGTTTAAACAATTTATTTTGTTGATTTTCAGACTAAAGTTACGTTTTAATGTATATTATTACACTTTATGCAATTTTAATACAAATAACATTCTGCCGCATTAAATAAAATAATACAAAACTAAAATTACATTTATACAATTAATACAATTAACTTTCATTTCAGAAATACTTTAAAAATATTTGTTTACGTATATATACATTTTTTTCCTTTATATATTACTTTATTTTTAATAGAACCTATAGAAAAATTGAAATAGAAAATATATCAAAATTTATAATTGTTTTAAACGTTTTCTAAAATATTCTATTTTCGAATTTTGATAACATTTAATTAGAAAATTTGGAAATTTTAATCTCATAAAAAATCTTTTTAAAAAAAGAAAAAATACACGTCAAATACATAAAAATGTCATTTACATTCTTTTTAAAACTAAAAACAATTTTTTTTTATAATTTAAATATACAATTATTTAAAAGTCAGTTATTTCATAGATCAAATATAGTCGTGAAATCAATAAAATTATGGCCAAGATATTAAACTAGCCTCATTATTCAAAAAAAGACCTCAAAAAAGCTTATTTGTGAAAAACATTCCAAAATTTAAAAAATGGAAAAGTGATAAACTGGATTATAATGAAGAAAAAAGATCGGAAGAG